TATGCCCTACCTGCACATCTTATAAAAAATGTGTTATAAATATTCTGTAACAATTACTCATCATGATCAGTGTCCTATCCCTTTCCTGCAGTAATAAGGAAGAATGACTTAATGTGTTATAGATTCACATATTTTCATTATTTAATTAATAAAAAAAATATAAATAATAAGAATAACTTCATTTGTTTTGCATCTTAAAACACACACGCAGTTTAAAAAAGTGCTTAACAGTTTGGATAAAACTGCACATTAAATATAAAGTAAACATGTACCAGCATACAGACACAAGCTCAAACAAATAGTCTTATATTTATTCCTACATAAATAGATTAGAACTATAGCTAAAAAATAATGCCAGAAAGATTAAGGAAAAGCTAACCTCTAAAAATGACCATTCTGTTACATTCAATTAAATTGTATTTATATAGCTCCAAATCACAACAACAGTTGCCTCAAAGCGCTTTATATTGTAACATAAAAGCCCTACAATAATACACAGAAAACAGACAAGGCACAATCACTCAGTGAAGCATTCACTGAGGTAGGAGAAGCTATTGAGGTGGTTAAGAGAAAAGTACAGCTTTGTCTTACCAACATAGTGATAATAGGAGATGCCTTTGGCGCAATAGTGCATGAACCTGAGGTAACATAAAGTGAGAACATTTAGAACCATTGGATCTGGCATGTTTCTTTAATCAGAGAGAAGATACTGGCTGTCTTAATTGTGATGCTTAACACTCACAATGGCGACCAGATTTATATGCCCCTAGAAGGATTTGTAGAAAATCATGTCATGCATTTGATTATGTTCATGACTGTAAATGACAGATGTTCATTCACAGGATGAAGATGTGTTTTATGCTGCAGTGGAAACCCGTCAAGCCACACAAAGACAAAAGAAGAAGATAACGCATAGTTCTGACTTCTGTACTTATTCTGCTATCAACACCTCTGGGCTCTAGATTGTTCATTGTTTCATTTAAAAATGCATAATGAATTATGCTGGTTAAACCAAAAACTTCTGCAAGGATTGAGATTAGCACAATCCTATGCAAAGCTGTTCTAGAGCCTATAGAGCCTTTAATCACTGAGGATGATGTCTGGTATAAACTGCAAGGAAGCCAAACACACAGTGCTGTTGATGCAAGATAATTAATATTTTTCATCTTATCTGTGAATGATCGTGGTTTGGATGATTGGTGTATACATGTAAATAATTAGTATCATTTGTATTCCTGTTTTGTTTTGTTTTAATTCTAAGATTGTTCATTTGTGTATTTTTTTCGCCATTTTTAATAGCAAAATCAGTAGCTTTAGCTTTTTAGATTACATGTTTGTTTTTCCTTTGTTAAAATGTTTAATTATGTATTTTTGCTTAATCATCTAAAAGATGACAAAAGAAATGTATCATAAACAAAAAACAGTGGTGTTTGTTGTTTATGATGTTTAAGTGTTTTGTTTTTTCAAATCAGTTGTAGTAGTTTACAGTATACCAAAGAATACAGACCTTTACAGAAGTTTACTGAAGCAGAAATATTATGTTATCTGTTCATGCAGCTAATATATTAAATTGTGATTGTATTTGTGGTGCGATGCTCGTTTTTTAAGCCTCTCTAATTAGTAGTATAAATAATAAATGTGATTGTAAAAAAATCTACACTTCTTCCATGTCCTTGATAACAAAATGCACAGTTTCAACCACAGCAAGGTCTTTTACACTGTACTGAGAAATTTGTAAGCACTGAAATTTGAAAAATAATCCAGAACTAACTTGATAAATATTAAAATCCTTCTTTTCTGCTGACATTAGTTTTTAAAGCCTTCCAGGAGTGGACATCACAGGAAATTTACCAAAGGGTGAGACTCTGCAACAAAAATGCAAAAACAAAACCCAAAAGGAATAAAATAAAATAAAAAATAAAGGCGTTCCATCTATTACTCTTCAAAAACAATACTTCTTCTCAACTGTCAAACATAGTGGTAGAGAGGTGATGATTTGGACTTGTTTTGCAGCCGCAGGATTTGGGCACTGAATAGACAACGAACTCCTCCGTATAACAAACTATTCTATTCTTGTGAGCTTTTGGAGCGAAATGTGAGGCCATCTGTCTGATGTTTATAGCTCAGTTCAGGCAGGGGTCAAGGAGCATGCTCGGAGCAGTGCTAGCAGTTAAACCAACTTCATTGTGGAATAGGCAGGTGTAAAGGGGCAAGGTTATGAGGAACACAACAGGGCTCAACTTAAGGGTGGTCTCAGGAGTTCTGTCAAAATTAATTAATCAATCAATTCATTCATTCATTAATCAATTAATTAAATTAATCTGGATTCTGCCTTAGTGTTTTACCAGGCCGGGCAAGCGTGGGGGGAGTTGGCAGTTGACAATACTGTTCCAAATTATAGCCAGGTGGTGAGTAAACAGGTAGATTAAGGATGGGCTTAGCAGAAGTACTACCAGAGGTGCCAGAGAGAAGAAGGTCTGCAGATGAAGTTAAATGTGGTATTCTGGACAGAAAAATCCTGAACAAGGTTTCCAGACATGGATGAGCAGAAAAGACGGGTAGCCGGGCAGGCAGGCAGGGGTGAAGTAAGGGAATCTCAAACCAAAAGGGGCTGATTATCACCATGATGGTGGAGAACAACCACGCAGTTCAGCACCAGGGTATAATTTATATTAAAACCAAAATTCATATTAAAGATTATTAAAAGATCTGAAATGAAACCTCACATATTTCTACACTGTGTTATGTTCCTGAATTGACTGATATGTGTCTTTGCTACACCATGAAGGCAAAATAATTCTGTTTACTAACAGCTACAAGACAAAATGCAAGATATGTATTTTTTCAAAAAATCCCCCCATTTACCATTTGGTTGGCAGAAATCTGCACAATGTTGATTCTTAATATACAACAAGACTCTTTTTTTTCTTGTAATTTTTTTAAGCTATGCTTTAAATTTCCACTTCAGCTTTAACGCATGCCCCATATTTTTGGAAACTCTCACAAGTTGAAGGTGCTCACAAACCACCACCATTGTAGACGATATAGTGAGCAGTAGGCTCACAGGAAAACCACAGAAACAAATGTCTACTCGGACGACAGAATGCAACATGTTTTTGTGAACCCCGTACTTTATTCAATCTTTATTTTTTAATTCTAAAACCAAAAGACAGAACAGATTTCTGATAAGAGGGACGCACTCTGTTGTTTCAAGTACAGAAATCACCATCACTATAGACATATTTCGTATTTTTTTAACTCTATGCTTAGTGAGTTTGACCAACTCACGACAAAAACGTTACTCTTCAGTTGTTGAATGTTCCACTAAATTTACCCGCTGATAGCTTTTTATGCTGTTTTTGGAAAATAGTGTTTTCGATCATTGCTGTAAGACTGAGCCAAAGCAGTAAATCTACAGGCCATTAAACTAAAAAAAGAATAACTGAAACATTTTAGTAGTAATATGAGTAGTTTCGAGTCAGATAAAGTTTACATCTGTTTTCATATGCATCTAGCAACTTGATTTGTTCATTTTTATTGAAGTATGAAGCGGATACACTAGCACACTGAAAATAGTTTGTAACATGGAGATTTGTGCAAGTGTCACACTAGATCTTGGTAAACCTCCCCCAACCCTCAACTGCGTGGCACACAGAAGGTAACCTACAGCTGATAAAACCAAATGTTTCTGTCATGTGTTCTCTAAATAAATTACATTGTCACATAGTGATCATTTAATGAACTTAGATGGTCACATAGATGAACTAGAATACACGACATATTACACTGTGTCATTATCTTAAGAAAAAATAATCAGTTCTGTTTGTTTGTCTGTTTGTTTTTTCAAATTTTGGTGAAAATTGGGTCAAGAACACACCAGATGTAAAATTTAATAAAAGTTTTTATGGACCGCCTTCAAACTTCACAGTATGCTAGACCTTGGGGTACATGAGTATCTAGGTTGGCTATGCATTTCACCTTGGCCTTTATTGTTAGTGCCCAAGGTCAAAGTTGACCTTAAATAAAATTTCAAGGATGCATATCAAGTAATATATCATTTTACTGTACAGCAAACTTTTAACCTTTTTAATATGATACTCTATAACATCAGAATGATGTCATAAAAGACTAATGTCAGGATGTTGTAATAAAAAAAATCATAGCTCATCAAAAATCGTGTGTACCTCTTGTCCTGTGGGAGAAGATGCAATCCCTGAGTGTTCTTGTTCATGTCTATAATGGCTAAGACTGAAAAGCATGTTGAAAAGCAGTCTGTCATGTTAAAAGAACTTTAATTTTTACATCCAGACCATCACATGACATTGCACCGACACAGTGTAACCACAGAATAGAAGGTTGCACTCCACCACTCGATCGCAACTTACATTTCCTTTAGTGGAAAAGTTATGCGTAGGCGATGACATTCGAGAGTCACACCATTCTTACTGTCTTTTAACTGCAGGTAATCATCAAACATGGACAGCCTTCATGTCATTCTTGTTCTTCTTTTAGGTAATATTTTGTACAACTAATTAGATTAGACATTAATATTATAAAACATTAAATGAATGTGTCGACTCTATTTGGAAATCTACATCACATCTTGTACTCAACACATAGAATTTGTTATTGTGTTTGTATTTCAGGAGGTGATTGGATTTCTGGATCAGTGGTGGATTTGAGAGTGACATCAGGACAGAACGTCACTCTGAATTGTGACTGTGAAGCATTACCTGAGGAATATATTGTGTGGTACAGAAATTGTACCCATGAAAATCAGCCTCCTCTTGTTCTGAAACTAAAAGAAGATGCATGGAAAAAAATCAGTGACCGAGCAATTTCAGTGAATTCTCTATTACGCTTCCACTTTAAAAAGAATCAGTCCTCTGGATCCTATGATCTCCTGATCATGAATATTTCTGATTCTGATGAGGGCCTCTATTACTGTGGAACTGAAAAGGAACAGTGGGTAGATGGCACAAGCGTTCAGGTCAGATATGACCACAGATATGCCAGTATCGCAACAAGAATCTTAATCAGTAAGTACTCATGTGTGATTGGGGTTTTTTTGTTGGTTTGTTATATATATGCATACAGTACTGTGAAAAAGTTTTAGGCAGGTGAGGAAAAATGCTGTAAACAAAGAACGCTTTCAGAAATGGAAGTGTTAATCATTTATTTTCATCAATCCACAAAATGCAGTAAATGAACAAATGAAAGATAAATCTCAATCAAATCAATATTTGGTGTGACCAACTTTTGCCGTCAAAACAACATCAAATCTTCTAGGTAAACTTGCACACAGTTTTTGAAGGAACTCGGCTGGTAGGTTGTTCCAAACATGTTGGAGAACTAACCACAGATCTCCTGTGGATGTTGGCTTCCTCACATCCTTCTGTCTCTTCATACACTCGATGGTGAGATCATGGCTCTGTGGGGGCCATACCATCACTTCTAGTACTTCTTGTTCTTCTTTAGGCTGAAGATAGTTCTTAATGACTTTGACTGTAGGTTTGGGGACATTGTCCTGCTGAAGTCTGTTTAACAAAGACAATGCTTCTGTGCATTACATCTACTGTATTTAATTCTGACATAAGCAAAAATCTTTACCCATCCCTCGTTTTTATTTATTTTTTTATTTTGTCCCTGATTTTCAGTGCAACTCTTGGGTAATTTGGCCAGTTCTTTGGTAGAAAGAGCTAAAATTGCTCTTATGATGTTGAAAGTTGCCGACCCCTAGCCTAGGTGAACCGTACATGTATCAACTGAAGGGCCAGCTGCATTTCCAGCTGCAAGTCTTGGTGGATTGTTTTTTAACATTTTCTTAAGGAAATCACTTTCAAATGCAGTTCATTTGGTGTAGATAGTGTTTTAGGTCTTCCACTTCTTTTGTCCTGCACTTGTCCAGTTTCCACAAACTTTTAAGGACACACTGCACACCAAGTTTTTGGAAAATTTTTTTTGCATCACCTTCTTGGTTAAAAAATACTCATGTTTAATATCCAGTAAAATACGTAAAGGAAAATAATAAACTGCAAATGATGTTAATATTATTAAACCTGATTTTTTTTTCAAATGGGAATGCAAAGGTAAGTCTTGCTGTAAAAAATGTTTCTTAATGTGTTTATAATTTTATTTGCTGGTTTGAAGTATTTGTATATGCATTATGGTATTACTTTTGTAAATAATAGTCCGTTTAGAGTAGAAAAGACGATAAAGCAGGATATACTTTGACGTGGGGCTTTCTTGTGATTGAAAGTCATCTTACATGAAGTAAACAGAGCAGTGTGCTTGCCACTTGAGACGTACAATAACTAAAGTCAGTACTAAACTAGATTGCTACACAGTGTTTCTATAATGTGTAAACTAAACACACTATACAAAGCACTATACATAACTGGATTGTAGTAAAAATGTAGATCTAATACACTACATATTTCATGCAGATTCACCTCACACAAGTCCTTGCCCTGATTCCAGTCCTTGCCCTGACTCCACTCTTCACTCTGACTCCAATACTCGACCTGACTCCACTCCTCGTGCTGTCTACAACAGAACCTGTGGTTCCAGTCTTGTGCCCTGGCTGATGATGTTTACACCAGGATTTTCTATTCTCATTTCATTTTTTTCCTTTATTTTTATTTATCATTTGTGTCGGAAAACAGGTACTGTATATTTTAATTATTAGAATTACATTTTTTGAATTGTTTGACTCACCTTCAAACGAACACACACACACAGTCCCCCACAAAACTATCTACAACCATTAAATGGCAAATTCTTAATGGCACTGTTGCTGTTGAATGCTACAGTATGATAGTGTATTTTTGTTTATGCAGAACAAGAACTTCAATTTTTTCAGAACAGACCAGATCACAATAATCAAAGGAGACAGAATGAGGTAAACTTTCTCTTCTTCATTTTCTTATCTACACTTGTTTTTGTTTTTTTATTGCATAAACAGCTGTGTGTGGGTCACTATTCAAAAAAGTAATGTAATACACATTATTATCAATTACTTACTATAAGATCATCAATTACTGTACAAAATTACAAAATGATGGAGAAATTTTTTTTAGCTAGTCATTACAATATTTTTGCATCACATAGCTAGCAGTTAACTATATAAACCTTCTGTTACAGTCCCACACATTAATATAATCTCTATCCTAATGGGAATGAACTCAGGTGATTAACTTTTAACAAAAAGAAAAGGAAAGGGAAAAAAACTTTTGACAAAAAGCTGACAGCGTTAGAAAACAGACCAAATAGAATAGAATAGATCTTTATTGTCACTGTTACAAGAACAATGAGACACAGTTTTGCACCATGTAGATTTAGATTTGGATTCTTTTAGGATAGGAGAATAAGATAAAATAGACTTAAGTTTCTGCACAGTTACATAAGTATCTACACAAAAAAAGGATCGTTGTTGTGGCCTGGGCACAGTTTCCACTCTGTCACCACATGCATGTCTTTTTGTGAAATAAAAATATCCAGTCTCTTTAAAATCTGTAGACTGCTGTACAGTTTGTCGTTTCCCACCACATACTCTAAAGTGAGCTCATTATACCACAAATGCAAGGGGGGATAATTACTTATGTGACTCATGTGATTACTGAATTTATTACAGTTATTCATTACATTACTATACTTGGGAATTGAGAAGAACCAACTCTTCTCAGTAGTTCAGTTCCTTGGAATTCAGTTCACTTCCTTGAAAATTAACTACTGGGAACCCGGATCAGAAGATAGTGGCGAAGTCTGCAGCCTGTATATAGACATTACTTTTAGTTTTAATGCACAAAAGGATGAGAGCAGGAGCAGAAGTGCAAACTGTGTCCAGAACAGAAACAACTGTATTGTGCAAATAACATAACTTCAGTGCTTTGAAAGCATGCCAACGCTAACTAGTGCTAAGACAGCCAAAATCCCAGAGTAACATTAAAGTTAAATGAGTGCTGACCCCAGCAAAACAGCCAGACCCTGAACTTATATAACAAAGGAAGTGATTAGCAGTCAGGCTGAAGCCTCCATTTCTACCTGTTCATGTTTCAACAGAATCAAGTCTGTTTTTGCTTGTTTTCAACTTTGCTATGTGCGGTCAGCTTTGGGTTCATACCTAAAAACTAAGAGAAAGATCAATTGTGTGTCCTTATTAGCACAAGTACTTGTATTGTGTGTGGGGGGCTGTAGCTCGTAGGTTTATATTGTTAAATGACCACTAATATCAGATAATTTCTGGAGAAATGCGAGAGTAATGTAATAAATTAATTACATTAATTAAGTAATGCACTGCATTACTTTTAAGAAGAGTGTTCTGTGTAATATGTGTAATACACTATTTCATTCGAGGAATGACTGCAACACTGATCACAACAAAGAGGGGAAATACCTGCAACATTCACAGACATTAGTCCACACAGCATGAATAACTTGCACAAATGTAATGTCTTTGATATGCTTCTTACTGATGGTGCTGGCTCTCAAAGTGGAGCCAAAAAGGAATAAAATTGATAAGTGATATCAATAATTGAATCAGAATTGCTAAATTCTTATCAAATCCCTAACTATAATGTGATTATAACAGTTTATTAGTTTGTAATACATTACACACAACACTGATAAACACAAATAATGTGTCAGTACTTTTTTAATGACATATGGCATTCAAACAGAACGTCCTTTTTTAAAATTTCATATTGTTCTAATGATTGCAGTATTCATTTAGGTAATTTCTTAATATCAGAAGAATTTATGATTCTAAATGTCAAATTGTTTCTCAGGATGAAGATTTGTGTTTAACACAAGTCTGGTTCCAGGCTCAAAATGGACAAAAAATCTTTAGACAGATTCAAGATGGGGAAAACGCTGTCTTCCACTGAAAATTATATACGTAGTTTGTTTTATTTATTTGTAACTCAACAGAGTTAGCCATTATTGAATTTTACTTTTTAGTTTTAATTGTTCTTTATGTTTGCCTTAAATTGTAGTTTTGGTGACTGTTGCATGTAAATAACTTAGTAAAAAGTAAAGTAAAGTAAAACTAACAAAGTATCTAGAAACAGAGTGATGAATTCTGATGATTTTTTCAGATTTGTGTAAATTACAGCGCTTATTATAGGAAACTAAAATTTTTAAATAAAAAATATCTTTTCATACCCATGGTCTGTTGAATGTCTTTAGAGAGTATACTTCCTTTGCCCTTTTTTAATTGTTGATTTAGACTAATCCTTGAAATTATTTAAACTACTCTCTAAAATTATTATCACTATTTTTTTTAGATTTCAATCAGTTTTATGGTTATCTTTTGTCTCTGCGGACACACCACCACAAGCCTCAATATGCAAACATATTTTTACTGCTGTACTTTATAAAGATATTTATGCACAAACATAACATCTCATGCCAAACTGATGTTGTCTTCTAATATTTTCCTTGGCCTTTATTTGGAAATAAATAGCCATGCAAACTATAATTACAAAACATATCATAACAAATCAAAGCAACACAAAGCAGCTCACAGGATTTGGAATATGACAATGTCTGCGATATCAAAAATACATAGATGGTTCATTTGTGAGGTTGAGAGAGATGCAAATGCAAAAGAAGGTAGATGGAACTGAGACAGGGTGAGCACATGGGACAGCAGTCATATACTGGAAGACCCAGACTCTTACAAGGGGAAATTCTTCAAGACATTAGAAGGGGTGAAACAACAGTCTCCACCATATTTTCTTCACGGGATTGGATGTCCCACTACCAGAAATGGGCAGTAATGTGTTACTTGTAACACGTTACTGTAATCAGATTACTTTTTTAAGTAACAAGTAAAGTAAGGGATTACTATCGCAAAAACAGTAATTAGATTACCGTTACTTTCCTGTAGGAACGCTGCGTTACTGCATTACTAAAACCGTGATTTTTTTGCGAGAATGCCTAATGACAATGACATAAGCAAGTGCAACGTTCGTGACAACAGCTGTGTGCAGATCAACAATGGATAATGTATCGAGTGCGGGAGAGAGTATGAGCGTGCAGCGTTTAAAGCATGGAAGTACTGACCTTACTTTGAGTTTGATTCCATAAAAAGTGACAAAAACAGTGTCCGTTGTGTGTGGGAAGAAAACTTCTTTTTACAGCGAAAAAAACCCCCTAAACAAGCACTGAGTGCGCTACCACGTAATGTGAAATTCACAGAGAAACTCGCAGATTCTTCCACTGACCGCTGTGGCACACCTGAACCAGGGCACACCTCCGCCTACCCCACTCCTGCTTTACAGGTGAAAATAGAGCAAAAGGACCGCTAGTCTTTGACTTTATTTATTTTCTGCTGTGTTTTACTTGCATCTATTTGAAAGAGTGAGTGTAAACACAAAAAATATTTTATTTTATGTGCTGGAATGTGCAGAAAATAGGTTTAAATGTTAGACTAATTTCTTCAAGTCAGAGAATTGTGCATATAATTTAATTTTTACTTGATGCATAAAGTTAAAAGATTAAAACTGATAAAACAAGTTAAAAAAAGAGACTTTTCCATTTGATTACATTTTGTATGATGGATTATGCAGAAAAAGTAGAATTGGGCTGAAAGATCTATTGTTTTATTACCTATTCAGGTTGTAAATCGCGTTTTTAAAAAGTAACTAAGTAACTAAGTAATTAATTACTTTTGAAAATAAGTAATCAGTAAAGTAACAGGATTACTTTTGGGGGGAAGTAATCAGTAATTAGTTCATGAGACATTGAAGAGGCATGTCAACCAAGACGAGGGATAGGTTGAGAAGTTTGGCCATTGGGGTGGGACTCAGAGTAGAGCCGCTATTTCTCCACATTGAAAGAAGCCCGTTAATTTGATATGGTTTTTCTTTTTACATTAAACAGCTGAACACACACGGCCTCTTTAGATTCTAATTCAATCCACTTGTTTTGACACAGAAATCTGTACTTCATAATATTACACTGACTCTTAGTTGTTATAAGATATCTTTTTAAAATTTCTGTACAACTTCACACGTCGTCCCTTGCACTGTTCAGAAAAAATACTGTGAATCGAACAGAATTGCACTGTAAGCCTAACACACAGATGCCCTTTCAGTGGTCTCTGTTAACAGAGCTGCAGAGCTAGAAATATCTTTAACCAGAGAACAGAGTATGAGTCTGAGGATGAATGTGACATGAATGTGACATCTATATATCACTCTTTTCTCTTCTAGCTGTCTTTAGGTATTTGCAATGATTATGCTTTAAATTTCCACTTCATCTTCAACTTTAATCTATGAATGGTGCATTTCAAGGGTTTGAGATAATAGAGTTGACAAATCATAACCATAATGTAGACCATCTAGTGAGCAGCAGGCTCACAGGAAAACCACAGAATAAGCATGCCCTCTGACAGCTGATTGCAGCATGCAGAACAACACAATCTGCACACTGGTGGCCTGTTGAATGCTTTCGTGCACCCTTCAATTTGTGCATTCTTGACTGATGGCCAGGCTCATAACATACATTACAATAAGAAGTAATGAAAACTGCTTTATTTTATTCTATATGTTCTTTTCAAATGAGCCAGAAATGAGGAGTCTGAGGTTGAAATACTAATAAATCACAAAATGTTTCTTTTGGTAAACACTGAAACGCAACGGTTAAACCTAAATGACAGTTCTGTTATTAGATGCCAGTTTTGTTCCTATTAATAAACTGACATAACATACTCTGCATGCATATGTGGGAAGTGGATTGCTTTAAACCTAAAGCTCAGAAGTGGTTTCTGCGCAAATCACACCCATACATGACCACAGATACACAAAGTATCAGTATAGCATAAGAAAACAGCATAAAAAATAAAAAATA